ATCATCATCATCATCATCATCATCATCATCATCATCATCATCATCATCATCATTCTCCCGACTGTAATTGAACTCAGGTCATCTGTATGCGATGGCAAAGCCCCTTTATGACCACTACGCTAACAGACTCCAGAAGACTAACCTTTGTCGGTGGAGAGTCTTGAAAACTGTCTGAACGTCATCAATCATCATCATCAATGCCTTTCACCCCTGGCAGGGTATAGGCCACATACAAGCTCGTTCCATTTATCTCTATCCTGCGCCATCCTTGCTAGCTCGTTCCAAGTGAGCTTCATCTCTCTCATGTCCCTTTCCACACATTTCCTCCATGTTTCTCATTGCCTACCCCTGCTTCGTACTCCCTGTGGGTTCTACTGCAGAGACTTTCTTGTGATGTTTATGCTGGGCTTTCTAAAGATGTATCCCATCCATTGCCACTGTCTTATCTTAGTCCTATTGCTACTTTTATATCCTTTTGTCCTGTCCTTTCCCACAGCTCTTCGTTTCTTATTCTAACCTGCTACTTCTTAGGATACTCCTCACACATCTGTTGATGAAGGGTCTGAACAACCACCTCATTAAAGACTTGGTTAAAGTAAACTAACCCCCCCCCCCCACACACACACACACACACATATGTACACACAAACACACACACACTCACAAACACGCGCACACACACACACACACAATAACCACCACATATTTGCGCATCACGACAATCAAAGCCCATTCATTGTTTCCCGAGAGACATAGCTACAACCCCACTGCGACCATCAAGGTGACCCGGATGTTTTCCATTAGTTCACGCAGTTCGAAATGGAGGGTTGTAAACTTTACCATCTTTACTTTCACCAGTGATATGAACCAGAGTCGTCCGCATTAAACCTTATTGTGTGGCGTCGGTGACCTAGTGGTTAGGCTACCGGACTCATAATCGTGAGGTTGCGGGTTCGGGCGTTCGCTCAAACACTAACAAACTGACAAGATCTTTCACTGTCTATAGCTGGGTACCCATTTTCACCTGGGTGAAGTGGGGAAAATTCGTGTAAAGTGCCTTTCCCAAGGACACAACGTCGGGCCCGCGGCTCGAACCCCCGAACCCGCAACCTCACGATTATGAGTCCGGTAGCCTAACCACTAAGTCATCGACGCCACACATAGTCTACGCAATAAGGTTTAATGCGGACGACTCTGGTTCAAATCATTGGTGAAAGTAAGCAGCTGCTTGCAATGTATGCTTCCCGGGAAGCTGAGAATGTTTCTGATCTGAGTGTTCTATGGTCTGCTGGGGTAATAATATGGTGTAAAGTGCACAGAGCTTGCTTTCGAGTGGGGGCATGCGCTATACTAATGATATTCATTATTATTATTAGACTAACTAACTGTGCTACTAATGGTGTGCCTAACAAAAAAGGGGAAAAAGCATTTGTTGGGTGTTACCTGAATGTAAAAAGGGGAAAAGAATGGCTTTGATCCAGAAGCCGGTCATTCACCGTGGTGTCGAGCTACCAACTACTAAGCTTGGGCTATCACTTTCTACGGGTCTGCGATCTGTCATGAAATTAAGGTAAGCTGTTGTTGACCCGGCCCCACTCGTTCATAATGCAAGTGAAGTTAGCAGCTTAACTATAATACGTGTATAGTATTATTTATTGTATATATGTGCGTATCTTGCGTATGTTGTATACACTCACGCTCATTTATACATACAAACACACACACACAATACATATATAATATATATATTTATATATATAACCCAATCCCTTGGATACGAGTATGAGATATTGCGTAGAATTGCCCATAAATGTGTTCAGATGCAGGGTAAAACGTTCCTTGACCTTAAAATGAGGGTTTCGAAACCGCCTTTTTTTTTGTTTTTGTAAAGTGTTTTACGGCGCTCGCAACTGCATAGGTCATATGAGCGCGCGGGACACTCCTAATATTTTCAGTTGGTAGGAAATTTTGAATTTTGCCCGGGTGGCGGCCGAAGCCTACTCTTATCGATTTTAGACCA